ACATTTTTATTTTTGAAAGATATTCATCGTCGTCGAAATGATCGTACGTCACGCTCACATACTGCTACCCAAGCTATGAAGCATAGGAAACAACATAATGTTACTTCGTTCTCTTTCGGATGCTATGACTAGCAATGGAAATAGTAGTCATCAGAATCTTAGTAGTGACAGCGATAGTAAAGAGACAGAAAGTGTGAGCAATCCATCTATAGTGACTAGTCGATCAACTTCATCGAATGAGCCTTCTAGTGTTTTGACGTCATCGGACCCTGCCGCGAATGCTGAGTCGATTGAGGATACACAAGGTTGTGTAACTGTAAGTGTTCCTACTTCGGTCGACTGTCAGTCAAGTGATGATGAGAAGGAAGCGTCTGATGGTAACAGCCAATCTACAGTGTTGCATGATAACGATGCTATTGATGTGCATATGTCTTGTGTCTCTGAAACGGAACATGAAGAACAACAAGTGAGTTTATCGGTTTTGGATTGCGATACTAATGCTGTTCTTTCATGTAGCGAGATGAGTTATACAAAAATGGAAGAGTTTCACTCTACGGATGCTAGTGCAGACCGAATCGACGCGACTTGTCTGACAGAACAGAATCATGATAATGATGATAATAACCTGGATGTCACTGATGTGGCAAATGAGTTGTCGACGATGACGAATGCTGATCAAACCTCCTCTGTATCAGGAGATGGAGAGATAAATATTGGTCCCATGTTATGCCACTTAAAGTCTTCGGAAGACGAGGAAATATCAAAATTGGAGATCCCACCCTTGCATATTATCTATGGGTCAAGAACTTCTGTTGATAAGTCAGCATCACGGACTTCATTGTATCTGCCGTTCGGAGCAAGTGGTGGTGGATTGACGACTCATCCCCATGATATGGAATGTAATTCCCGGATAGGATATGACCAGTTTTACGACGTGTTGTACATGTTCGTGTGGGTTAATTGGATAAGGTTTATACTACCGTTAGGTCATGCTACGACAGATAGGGGAATCAAGGACCTGATGGGAAGGTACAGGTACCTAGTTAACACGATAGGTCATATCCATGTTGGAGGGCGGGTAGGCGTACTGCTGTAAGTCCTACTCGTTCTTCCGGTGTGGATTAGGGGATGAGAGTGAACCCAAACTTGAAGTGTCAGTAAACGCTTGCTTTTCTGCATGGAGGGATTTTGCGGGCCGGTGTAGAATCCTTTTTGAATGTTTTGGTTTTTGGAAAATCCCTCCATGTCTGTATATTTTTGTTATGATATGACTTACTCTTTCTGTTGACATTCTGGTATTTTATTTGATTCAATTTTGAGATTTTATCATTGTATATTGTTATTATTTCTATATTTTGTACTTATATTAAAGTTTTATGTTTGCTTCTGAACTGTACATATGTTGTTTAAATTTGATATATAATATGGCTACAGCCATATTTTTGGATTTGATATCGTCGCAGTATACTAGCTTCACCTAGTCTTTTGAACTCGGATACTCATCAGAGTAATTTCGACTTGGAAGACGTAATAATTGTCGAGTGAATGTTTGTATTTCCATTTCTTCTATATAAATAGACCCTTTTCTCCTAGAATTATTGTGTTTTGATATTCGACCAAAGGAAAGTGCGTTCGACATACGTCTATTGGAATCGAATTGAACTGCTACGGTAGAAAATCCAACTACAGGTACCCTCACCCAAGGAGACGGAAATCCGTGAGATTGGGTGAGGTGTGACATTTTTAGGGTCGACCCTTTCTAACACTTCCTTCCTTGTGAGAAAGCAGCATCACTGCAGATGCTGGTTGTCCGAGGGAAACACCTTACTGCTGTCACACCCCTCTGCAGTCAGCAGTACGACTGCGCCCTCGGACATTGAGTAGCTGCTTTCAGTTTGATCGTTCTCCAATCGACCTGCGTTGTATGGCATAACCTCCAGGAACATACATTCCAGCCAGTATAGCTCGGTTGAGTCATCATGATTGGCAAGACCAACCACCACATCTAGGTAGCAGCTACGGTCGGGATTGGAAAGTAAAGCCTGATGTTGACGATCTAATTGAAAACAACAATATTGTTCGCTTATTATCTGTGTTGTTCTCATTTTCACAATGGTCATCTTAAATAATCTAAAGTGTATTATGAAATAGCAAAGTGTAAATTGATTCTAGACAATATCAATGTCCTAGAAGTTCTCATATATTGAGATAAGAAAAAGTGACATTGTTTAGCAATGTAATCGAAAATTGTCAAGAGCCTTGGTTATGTAATAAGTTTAGAAACAATAAAAGAGAGTAAAGCATAAATTAAAAATTAAAGATAAATATTTGTTTTGCGAAGGAAGAGAAAAGGAAAGGAATAATTATTACTTATTTACGCCTGTTGTCTCTAATGGAGCATGGGCCACTTACCAGCTTTGCTTAGCCTACTCTGTCCTGGGCTTTTCTCTCTAGTTCTGTCTTATTGTTGTTCATCCTTGTCATGTCTGTGTCCATTTCTGAGCGTAAAATTTTTCCTTTGACCTTGAGGATTCCAAGTGAGGGCTTGTTGTGTGACGCAGTTGGGTGCTTTCCTCAATGTTTGTGGCATCCACTTCCAGCGCATCTTCCTGATTTCTTCCTCTGATGGAATCTGGTTTGTTCTCTCCCACAGAATGTTTTGGCTGATGGCGTCTGACCAGCGAATCCGAATTATTTTGTGTAGATAATTACTTACTTACTTTCGCCTGTTACCCCCAATGGAGCATAGGCCGCCCACCAGTTTTCTCCAACCAACTCTGTCCTGGGCTTCCCTCTCCAGTTCTGTCCAATGTTTGTTTATTCCTCTCATATCTTTCTCTATTTCTCGGCGTAATGTATTCTTTGGCCTTCCTCTTTTCCTTTTGCCTTGAGGGTTCCATGTGAGGGCTGGTCTCCGCCAATAGAACCTTCGGGGCTACCGCCGGTCCCAAGCCCGGATAAAGGAGGAGGGTTGGACATGAGGTTGGCGACCCCATCCCGTCAAAAACTATCTTACCAAAAAACGCTAACCAGAAAAAAAAAAATAATTATTTTGTGTAGATAACTGTTAATAAATACTTGTTTCTTCTGGATGATGCCTTTCGTGGTTCTCGAAGATTCCACTCCATACAGTAGAACTGTCTTGACATTTGTATTAAAAATTGTGACTTTAGTGTTGATTGATAGTTGTTTTGAGTTCCAGATGTTGTTCAGTTGTATAAATCTTGTCTTTACTTTGCCGAAAAGAATAATTATAAGTAAGAATAATTTTTAAAAATCCATAGGAAAAGACAAAATGTGAACTTGAACAATATTGTTTTAAGACACAGAAATCAAGCCTGAAACACTGTTAATTGTGATCACTTTCTCATTGTTTCATTAATAAAATTCGATAAGTTTATCGTAGTTTTCTTACTAGTAGAATACAATACACTGAACTTAAATTCATACATGATGTTTTTACTTACATTTGTACACATTTAAATCATGAATCAATCATTGTTAGACCACCATTCAAAACCTAGAAGCACTGGATGGCCATTTCGTTCTGGTTAGCTGTGCGCATCCACGACTCTTGCTACTCGCAGCATTCGAACCTAGAGCTTTCATTCTTGCCGTCGAATGCGCTAAGCCTTTGGACTATGTAACTAGTATCCAACGGTTTTGATGTTAAACTCTGATCAATCTCAGGATCTAATGCTTCCAGGTTTACTAATGCTGGTCTAACACTGATTCATTCATAATTTCAATGTGTACAAACAACCTTGTCCGTAGTAATACTACTACAATGCAAAATTTACATTATCTTTTTGTGAATAATAAGAAAAAGGAACTAACCTCACTTATACTGTTTTTTTTTTTTAAAAAAAATTTAAATTATTTGAAGTTGTTGTTATAGACCAGTCCGTTTTATTTTTTGTTTGTTTATTCAAACAAACAAACTAACAGTGGTAATCCAGAAGGATTAATTCGTGTCACTGAATTAGCTGATCAACTTGTTCAAGGTGGAGATTTTGATGTTTATCAAAAAACATTTGATGATATCAAAAAATTGATTGAATGTACAAAACAATATGAAGCAGACGATGAACTTGATGTTCTCGGTCAAGAATTCGATGAAAAACAAACAAACAATAAAGGTTTGTTTGTTTGTTTGTTGAGTTTTTTCAGTTTGAAAATAAACTGCATTACGGGGTTGTGAAGATTGTTAAGTTTTTTTTTTTGAAACCATGAATCGATTAATGCTAGACCACCATTAGAATAACTGGAAGCACTGGATGGCCATTTCGTCTTGGTATGAGAGACTGTTTGGCAGTACGCATCCACGACTCCTGCACCCCGCAGGATTCGAACTCAGGATCTTCGGTATTGTAGGCGATCGCCTAACCGTCGAACCACTGAGTCGGTATCTAACGGTGTTATTGTCTAACTTGATCAATTCATGGAGTTGCGCAACCTCATACACAGTCTTCGGTAGTTACTGACTACACCCGAACAGGTTGAACTGTCAGTAGTATTTAATATTTTGTGTGAAATCAAATCTCGGGTTCGAATCCTGTGGGATGCAGGAGTCGTGGATGCGCACTGCTGAGGAGTCCCATACCAGGACGAAACGGCCGTCTTCCAGTGCTTGCAGGTTTCTAATGGTGGTCTAACATTGATCGATTCATGGTTTCGAAAAGAATGAAAATGAACTTTCATTAATATTTTGTTGTCAGTCAGTTTGGCAGACAGATACAACACAGAACTTCGTACGTATGTACATCAGTGCAGGTTGCCATACCGCATTAGCACAGAGATATGCAAATCTCGATTCAATGCCCACAGTACTGGTGGTTGCAGAAGTAGGAGCAGTAATCGGAGAGATTAAGGTTCGACGATCTGATTTGAGTAGTATAATTGAATGAACTGAATTTAGAAAGGAAAAGATAGAGTTGAGGAGGAATTTAGAAGATTAGAATTTGAAGGGGAAACAAAGGATGAATGCATCTGCGTCATTGCAAACGGTTTTGAGCCATGTCATTCAGGATCTTTAATCATCGACTACTACCGTCTCGCGGACCCCAACCAGGTGGTTGACACTTGTCAACATGGCTCGGTCTAGCTGTCAGTGACGTCATGGATTTGTGCCATGTTTTGGTTTGGCCGCCCCTAGCTTTCTTCCAACCTACTTCTACACTGCAAAACATCACTCGTTATGGCAATCGGTTGTTGAGCATAATTTGTGCTCTCTTATAACCGCTGATAGCTAAATCCCACTCACTTCTTTCTCGTGGCGAGGATGTTATTTACAAAATTGAGAAGACGAAAAGCGGAGGTTGGGCACCTGAACGTGATTCGTGCGTACGGAGGATCTACCAATGTGAGATGAAAAATCCCGATTCCGAACGAATGATGACTATAGGCTTCAGGATCCTCAAAGAATGAATGGCGCTTTAATCTATCCTTGATCACTGATTATTATGAGGCTGCATCTCTTTTAAAGTTGCTCCTCTGCTATGTAGATTATAAGGAATAAGTCGAGAGCTCAAAAAAGTC